CCCTTGATTTGATATGAAGTTAGAGCCAGTTTCGCTGCACCTCAATAAAGTTCCTGGATAAATTGATGGTAAACAAGGCCAACCATGTTCCACAAACAAAGAGGTGAGTCGTTAGGGTCAAGGGGTGTAAAATACGTCCGATCTCAAAGGCAGCCTCCGTCGTTCACATGCCCATCAATAAAAAAACGACGGCACGTCACACAGCACGTGTCTACCGCGGGAAATCTAATGGTAATGGGGTTTAAGCAATTCTTCCTTACAAACGGACGGATTTCATTTCCTTCCAAAGCAACCCAGGCTGACTCCTGTATGGTAATGATCGAGAATGTGCGCTCGTTGTTTTCTTCATATTGACTCCTTATGACTATTTACCCCCCCCCCCCGTCAGCCGGCATCGCCATGGCCTGGTTAGTTGAAAAGTAGCTTGCGAGGCGTAAAAGTGTGGACACCCCTGCTCTAGGTAGTCTTCAACAAAAAACGTTACTCCACCTATTGTTCTGGCGGTGAATTGCTCTGCAACACACGCAATGCTTTCATTGAAACGAGTGCGTCGGCACAACGGTGCGTAAAGACTGTGATGTCTAGGATGTCTTTTCCCACTCTGGATGAATGTACAAAATGTACAACGGTTTCAGCCTTGATACTAGAGAGTAAGATGGATTTTTCCTTGGATCTCGCTGCTGTATTATCACCGTTCACAAGGGGGCAGACGGGTACAACTGACATCGAGAGAAGAGGGAACTCACACAAAACCTCATATACAGTATATATTATATCTACATGCTCCTTATCCTGAAATATTTACACTTTAGGATCACTATAACTGACCTCTCCCACTCCCTCGCCCCTAAATCATGCATACATTAGCACAAATAAAAGTTCTCAAACATTAAGTACTGTTGTGTCAATAGAAAACATGTGTGTGTTTGAAAACTGTTTGCAAAGCTTTTTTAAAATCGCTTTTATGTAAAATAATAAAGAAAAAAGAGATTATGCGATGAGCCGAAAGACCTGGTTAAATGAAAACATGACTTTAAAATACAAATCATCAAGCAATTGACATGATCTTAAGTACAGGTTCTAAATAGCAGATACAATATAAGTAATGGTGTTATCTCGCCAAAAGACCAAAAAGTGCAGAATGTATGAGGTCTTTTTTTGGACAGTAATGAGTTAAAAGAAACATGCTATCTGTGATGTTTTGTGGACTCATACTAATACACATACTTTTAAGTATGAGAAATTGGATGTGAAAACATGCAAAAGCGTGTGTCACAGGTTGGCAGCTCTGTACCCATCTCACATCTGTCCCAATATATTAGTTCAAAAGGACACCATCTTGCATGCTAAGAGTTATTTGGAAAGATTATTTCCATTGGTACATCTTTCTGCTACATATATAGCTATTGCTAGCACTAGGTTACCTTAGCTTAGTATAGTGCAAAGACCAGAAGAAAGCGGGAACAGCTACCATGGCTTTGTGAAAAGATAACAAACTACACTCAGCTCCTCTGAATCTCAATAACTAACAGTTTGTTCATTTTGTACTTCAAATGAAAAGTTGTGGCATCAGATGTAGTTATGTGCTGTAACAATGTAATACTAGCGACCTGTTTCATGCTTTTTGACTTTGCACAGAGTGACGCTTATTGTTGCCAGTCTTTAAGCTAAGCTAATCACTTAATGCAGATCTAGAGACAGTGGCTCTGACAAAAAACCTCCAGTTGGTCCCAATTAACATTCTGAACTGGCAGTATTAGTCTGCAATAATAATCAAAATAACCCTTTTTAGCAATGTATTCAAATGTGTACACTGTGTACATGTGAAAAACGTATCAGGATCCTTCTCATTGAATCTGGGCATTAAACGCAAATTAGCCTCAACATCAAATCCAACCCGCACAGACTCAGAGAAACTTTCCTATGCCATACTCTGTGAAAGCTTACCGTCACAAATCAAACTCAATTTATACTGCTGCAAGTCTAGTTTCATTTTTTCTGTTTGCTGCCGAACCTTTTCGATTTAAATTTGCCGCTCAGTTTCCACGTTTAACTGGATTCTCTCCTGCTCAAACTGCAACATCAGCAGCTCCTTCTGCTGGTAATATTTGTAAATTAAGATATCTGAGCATGCATCTCCGCTTGTCTGCATGTCTCAGTTGTTCTCAGCTCGGGCCGTCGAAAAAGCAGTTAGCCAATCACTGGTTAAAAGTAGAGGCTTTACGAGTACTTATGTGCTGTAACAATGTATTTACTAGTGACCTGTTTTATGCTTTTAACTTTGCACAGAGTCTTTAAACTAAGCTAATCACTTGCAGATCTAGAGCCAGTCGCTTTGACATTAAACAAGAAATAATTCCCATTGAATAAACATTCGGTACTGGCAGTATTAGTCTGTAATAATAATAAAAATAACCCTTTTTAGCAATGTATTAAACATGTACACTTAGTAAGTACCAAATTAAAAAATAAGGGTGTGTGATTTTTACAGTGTACAGTGAGGTCTAAATTAGTTTACAATGTGATCGATGAATGTTTATTTCAAGTATTGTAACACATTAAAGTCTCTTTGGATAAAAGTGTCAGCTAAATGACATGTATTTATAATGTAAAATAACAAATGAAAAATAATTGGCAATGTGCAGTTTTCAAACTTGTGTCATTTTATTAATGATTAACGCCTTATGGCAAACATAACACATATAAATGGTGTACAGTTTTCAATGTACCCACATCACAGTGATTTATCTCTTATAAGCCGATGTTTTTCCGGAATTTAGTTAAATGTAACAAAATGTGGAGCTTACTGACATCAGGTCAAATAGCAACCACTATCATTACACAGGGGATTCTAAATGACCATTGAACATTCCGAGGTTAGATTTGCTATCATAAAACCGGGTATTTGGACGGAGTTGTATGTACACCTGGTCTCCCACTTCAAGCTGTAGAGTCATTGCATTGGTTGATCTCTTGTGGCGGCCTCCAGCTGCGTAGTTGCTCACAAAAACCACACGCTCTCCGTTCTTCATCAGCTGCATGTTTTTGGATGATTTATTATGGCCAGTGAAGCTGAAGTAATATACTCCTTTCACTGGAGCAGTGAAAATACCTGGGAATGATCAACAGAGGAGTACACCTTTTGTAATTTCCATTTTTTCCTGTGAAAGGCAGTATTTTTTAACAAATGATCATGAATACACGTTGTTATGGTAAGTTCACCTGTTGCAGGATTGAATGCGCCTGTGTTTAAGAAGACATTATTGTAGGTCAGTGTCATGTCAACGTTAGACGGTCCACTATTTCCCATTGATGCTCCAAACGCCACCCGATTACCTTGATAGGATTGATAATTATAATGTTTATTTTTGTTTGAAAACAACTGAACCTGAAACAACCTGAAAACAACAGTGAGAAGAAATGGTCTTACCTTGGACTTCCACCTTCAGATTCTCTAATTGCTTCTCAGTGTTTCTCAGTTTTGACTTTAGTTTCCTTAAAATGGCAAAACATTGGCAGTTTTCCTCCTTGGCTGGTGGCAGGTGGCTACTGCTGTCTGGTGGCAGGTGGTTACTGCTGTCTGGTGGCAGGTGGTTACTGCTGTCTGGTGGCAGGTGGTTACTGCTGTCTGGTGGCAGGTGGTAACTGCTGTCTGGTGGCAGGTGGTTACTGCTGTCTGGTGGCAGGTGGTTACTGCTGTCTGATGCAATAGGAGACGGATGATCCTCAGCTAGACTAAGGTAAAGGAGGGAGAACGTCAACACAGCCACGTAGGTCTTCATCTTTACTTTCTTTGCTTTGTTCGTAATCAGCTCTAACCACTATGCTTTATATACCACACGAAGAGAGTGACGCACTGACCGAAAAGTGGCAAGAGGCACGTTCCCTTTTCAGAACATCACAAACAGTTCTCAGTTGAGCACGTAGTGAGATGGACTCGCCTGCTTCTCCTCATGCAAAGTCCATGTTAATGAGTATCTTCACTGCCATGGGTTTGCCAAAAATGTTTTTTTCTAACTTTTTTGAGAAATTAGCACAGTGTCTTCAATAAGCGATGTATCTTTCTTTTTAACAATATCCTTCTTTGGCTAAATGCAAGGCTTTAGATAATAAACCTTTCCAAGTTCGTATTATAGATTAACTTTCCAGCAGGGTCCTTGTTGTGCTAAATAAATAACACTTGCATCCTCTCCTGATAAGGAAGAGTCCTTCCTAGCACAACGAGACCCGGTTCCAATTCCCTTCTGCAATTAGACTCTTAAAGCACATGAGAACACCATCAGACATGCTGCCACGTCTTCACAGGCTACTGCAGGTTTCAGTATTGTGGAGAGACTGATGATTAGAATAAGCATTGAAGTATAGCATGGAGCTTTCAGCAGTGATGATCTGATCATTGATGTATTTCTGGTGGATTAAATTGGAGGAACTCCAGTTTATCTTCTTGTCCTGGGTTTGCACTCCCTGTAATACATGTGATATCACATCAAAACTAAAATGTAAGACTGTGAGAAGCAGTTAGAACGACATGAGATCAAACATGAAATTATCTATTACAGAGAGACT